ACGCGCACCTTCCTGGAGGCCATGCAGGCGGGCAAAGTGCACTTGGCCCGCTTCGTGTTGGATGCGCTGGACCGCAGCATAATCGACTGCCGCGCGGAGCAGGGCCGTACGCCGCTCATGGTGGCCGTGGGGCTGCCGGACCCCGCTCTGCGCGCGCGCTTCGTGCGGCTGCTGCTTGAGCAGGGTGCTGCGGTGAACCTGCGGGACGAGCGCGGCCGCACCGCACTCAGTCTGGCGTGCGAGCGAGGCCACCTGGACGCCGTGCAGCTGCTGGTGCAGTTCAGTGGTGACCCCGAGGCGGCCGACTCTGCGGGCAACAGCCCGGTGATGTGGGCGGCGGCCTGCGGCCACGGGGCAGTGCTCGAGTTCCTGGTGCGGTCCTTCCGCCGCCTAGGCCTGCGCCTCGACCGCACCAACCGTGCGGGGCTCACCGCGCTGCAACTGGCTGCCGCCCGCGGCCACGGGACCTGTGTGCAGGCCCTCACCGGGCCCTGGGGCCGCGCCGCCGCCGCAGCCGCGGCTCGGGGCTCCAACTCCGATAGTCCCCCTGGCCACCCCGCCCCCGCGCCCAGCCCCGAGCGTCGACGACCCAGCCCCCGCCGCCTCCCGCGGCCTCTCCTGGCGCGCTTTGCGCGAGCGGCGGGCGGCCACGGCCACGGCGGCGAGGCTGGCTTAGCGGGCAAGAATTCGGGCCGGCACCGGGCGCAGGGCAGTGAACGGCCCGAGCTGGGTCGGAGCATGAGCCTGGCGCTGGGTGCGGTGACCGAGGAGGAGGCGGCCCGCCTGCGGGCTGGGGCCCTGATGGCCCTACCAAACTCGCCCCAGTCTTCGGGGACTGGGCGGTGGCGCTCACAGGAGGTGCTGGAGGGAGCGCCCCCAACCTTAGTGCAAGCCCCCATTGGCCTCAGCCCCCATCCGGAGGGCGGCCCCGGTTCCGGCCGCCTGGGTTTGCGCCGACGCTCCACAGCCCCAGATATCCCCAGCCTGGTCGGTGAGGCGCCAGGGCCCGAGAGTGGCCCGGAGTTAGAGGCCAACGCTCTGCCTGTCTCGGTGCCTGGGCCGAACCCTTGGCAGGCGGGCACCGAGGCTGTGGTGCTGCGTGCTCAGCGGTAAACGGCGCCAAGGCCCGAGGCCTGCTTCCCCCACCCTCCCGTTTCTACTCCACTGGTATTTCTTCCTTATAGGTCCCTCACCTTTTCGGCAGCCGCCCCCCGCAGCCCATTTTGGAACCTGCCTCTCTGCCAAGGCGAGACCTCCACCAGCCCTAAGGGACCTCCATCTTTTTTGTGCTCCTCGGTATTCCCGGCCTAGGTCTAGAGGTGTCGATTGACTGGTTCCGTAGGCTACAGCCAGGAAGGTGGATTCCCCCTCCTCAGCCCTCAGGTTCAGTCCTGGGTCTGCCTAGCCACCTGTCGCTCCTCTCCGGCCCCCCTCCCCTCGCTGGGTTTCCCAACACCCGGGCAGCCAGGCAAATAGAAGGGTCCACCTTGGAGAATAAAGACCCAGCCTCCCCACTCTCTGCCTACTGATGCTGAGAATAATCCCACAAACTACCAAAGTCTCCTTTCCCTCGAAGTGTGGGAGAAGGAAAGGACCGAGGGGGCCCTAGAGCCTTTCTGGACTGGAGGGTTGAGGAGGAAGGGGTCTGGCTGTTATGTTTTTCTAGGGTAGAAACTCCTGCCTCAAGACAATGAAACCGTATTTTGGGAGTGGGAGAGTCCCTAGTGTTGAACACCAATTGTCCCTTAAATCAGCTCCTGGGTAACTCCAGCTCCCTCTGTCTCTGCCCCAGGATTCAGCTTCGTTGATAATGTGGGGTCACTGCTCCACACAACCCCTACCCAGGCCAAATCCGGGCTCCTGAGCCAGCCCGCTCTTCAGCGCGGGTGCATTTGAATTCCATCATCGAGGTTCAACACCTCACCCCTGGAGGCCCAAGCCCTATTTCCGCTGGCTCACAGAGGCCTGAAAGGGAAAGGACTGAGCGCTTCCCCGCCTCCCCGCCTCCCAGCTCCCCCGTCCCGCACGTGGGTGCTCCCGCGGGGTGGAACGGTTGCGAAGGCTGTGCTTAATTGTATTTCTTCCAATCCTCAAAGAACTCGTGTTTTAAGCCTTTGTATATGAAGCAGAAAGCAGCGGGTCTGATTCTGAGGCTTAAGAGCCTGACAATATCTCTTTAAATAGAAGCTCCGCGAGGGGGATAATTGACTGAAGTGTTTGCGACGTGAAACGGCGGCGCGCGGGAGTCGGGAGCCCACACGAGCCGCAGGCCCAGGTTTAAATTACATCAAACTCTGGCGAGAGCTGGAAGGGGCCTGTTAAACGGCTCCTGCTTCTCGCTGGGCCGTTAACGGAGGGCAGGGCGGATGATCGATGCTGTAGGTAGAGACCCGGGACCCCTGCCTTGGTCCCACCGCGTGGGAAGCAGGCCGGCCCAGGTTTATTATTGGGCAGATGAGTGAGTCAGAGGCCCTTTCCTGACATTGCCCCCTGCCTGCTCGCCCCTACCCCTCTGCCCCGTGCTAGCCTAGCGAGGCGGCGGGGTTGGAGGCGGGGGTCCGGCGGGACGCGTGCGCTAGGACCCTGCGGAAGTGCTAGCACGTGTGTCAGTGCGCCTGGCCCGCGGGGAGGCGGCAGGTGGGGCTGTTTTGTGAACCCTGAGGGTGGAACTTGAAGCCTTTCACCTGCCTGCAGTTGGGTCTTTGCAAGACGTCGATCTGTTTGCCTTTGCAGTATGGAAGGTTTCTCGCCAGTAACCCCCAGGGAACTGCCCAGAGCGAGAATGACTGTGCCGAGATACTGCTGGGCCTGGCGGTGAGGGGTGGGGGGCCAGGAGTGGGCCTCGTGCAGGTGTCAGGACACCTACCCAGTCCTTGCACCCCGCAGCCCGCATCCGCTAGGCCACGCAGGCCGGCGCACTGGACGTGATCTCTGGTGCCCCCTGGTGGCAGCGTTGGGCCCTCCCCGCTGGGTCCCGGCTCGGAGCTCAGACACCTGGTTTTCTTTGGGATCACCCCTGTGTACTTCTTCCTCCATGTGCATTTATCGTGGAATCCTCTTCCTCTTGTAGAATATTAAATCCGGATACTTGAAGTCACTTCACAGCAGTGAAGCGAGGGAACAATGAACAAAACACTCGCATCGAAAGTAGCAGGAGCCCAGACCCTTCGCTAAGGACCCCAAGTTAAATCTTCCAAGTTAAGGCTGCGTGTCCTGAGAGCTACTGCTCTCTTCCGAAAAGTCGGAGCTGCCAACCCTTCCCTTGGGACCTGCCGATTATGCAGTTTTTTCTGATATTTGCTTTGGTTTCTGAGGTATTCTGCCCTCTCCCTCTCCTCTCCTCCCAAAACATCTGCCTCTCCTCAGTCCCCCTGTCTGGGTGGTGGGTGCACAATACCGAGTGCCTGAAAAGCCTGAGGGAGAGGGTCTGGGGTGGGATGGGGACCACTGGACACCCAGAGTGCAAACTGCTGCTTTCTGACCCTTGCTTGCTCATGTACTCCCTTTTCAACTGTGTTGAATTTTAATGACGCTTTTAGTGGTGTAGGAATGCAAGTATTTTGGCTCAACAGCATGAAGTCTGGGTTACACATTGTATCAGAGGTGCTGTAATCTTTCCAGTATCTCTGATATGCGGCTTTCTGGTTGAATGTCACCCTGGGCCCTCTTGACTGGATAAACAACCATGAGGGCTCTTCTCTGTGGAGCTGCCGAGAGCTTGGTGGTAGAAAGTGACGTTCCTAAACAACTGCATCGTGTGTCTGACTGCCTTGCTGTCCGTACAGACTCCTTCCCAGGCCCGGCTCCGGGCAGAACTTCCACATTTTTCTCCCCTGAATTCCCTTTGTCAGCCCCAGGGTGTTGAGGCTGGGTCCTCTCTAGCAATCTCTACCTTCAGAAGAGACTTTTCTAAATCTTTTGCTTTTCCAATTCTTGTTGCTTTTGTCATTGTGAAGAGTCACCCAGGATGCTGGCGCTCGGTACCCTAAGATCAGAAGCGGTCTGTGTGTGAGCTGTGGGACATACGCACACCCTTTCAGAGTGATATTGTGTGGTGGAAGGACTATTAGAACTCAAAGAATAGTTAATAAATCCAGTATTATTCTGTTGCGAGAACTGGCCTCTCTTTGCCTTATCAAGCACTCCTGACCCTCGGCTCCCTTTAGAGAGATGGACTGAGCTCTTGCCTCCTATGGAGTCCCCTGCCTTAGTGAGCCTCTGCCAGGCCCGTCCCACTGTGCTGGCTCCTGAAGGTAAGTCACAGGTGCTGCTTCTGCTGAGCTGGGTGGCGGGGCCAGGCCGGCAGCAACACCAGGGCACCTGTCAGGGTGTGAATGCACTGGGAAGTGAAAGAAAGGCGGCGTGGTTTCTTGCTCCTGGCTTGCTCCTGAACCCTGGGCCGTGGGAGATCTCAGGAAGGAAGTGCGGGAATCCGTTCTTTCGGGAGCTGGAAATCGCAAGATAATTGTATCCACCTCCCCAACCCCAGGACGAGAGCCCAGGCTCCCTGGTTTCCAGGCTCTGCTCCATTCTTTCTCAACTCCACACCATCTCCCTCAGTACTGAGGAGTGAGACAGGGACTGCTCTCCCACTGGAAGCAGTTTCAGACCACTTCCTGTGGACGCTGGAGGTCCGGGGTGGGGGTGAGGAGCCGCAGAGGATGGGAGAAGCCGACACGTAGGGTGGTCGTCAGCCACTGTGCTCACCCTTAGCAAACGCAGCGCAGGGCCCTGGCTTTCCTCGTGGGCTCTTCTCCCCTGGGAGAGTAGCCCCATCTATTTTTCATCGCCTTCATTCCCAAGGGCCGTTCACTTCCTGTTTCCCTTCCTCTCTGCCTGCCTTTCGGGCCCACAGGTCACCAGGGAAGTTGGGTGTTCTGTGGCGTGGCTGCTGGAGAGCTCATGTGGGGAGGAGGGGAGGCTCCACGAGATTCACCTACCATAGGCGGCCCCCCCTCCAAGACCGCCGGTCACCGCTCCCAGAGACACAGGAAGCCCAATGGCTTTGAACACTCAATTTAATTTAAAACAGGCACAAGTGCAAACAATTCACAAAAATTTCTAGGGAAGATGCTTTTGTTTTGAAAACTCTGACCCTTAAAAAAAAGTCCTTGCAATTTCTTTGCCCCCATGTAGGTCACTAGGGAGCAGAAGAATCTAAAAATATTATCTAAATAGAAAGGGTCCAGACACCTGAAGTTCTTTCCTGGAATTCCATCTCAAAGCAGCCCTGAAGTGGGGCGGGGCCGAGGAGGACAAGGAGACAGCTGTCTGTGGAGGCAGCCGGGGCAGATGGTTTGCACAAATGGGTGCCTGTGACCTTGACGTGATGGAAACCCGGAGGTGGTTCGCCTTCTCTCCCAGATAGGGTTCTGAAGAGAACATTGGGTCCCTGATGACCTGGTTATTGGGATAAACTTGAAAGGTAACACAGTTACCATTCCTTACATTCCTGTCTCTGGCCCTCACGCTGCACAGTACAGGAGACGCTCAGAAGCCTCCTGAGCCCCCAGGATGTGTTAGACTTAGCATGGACCACTCCACTGGCCAGGGAGACACAGGACTGGAGAGGTGGAAGCCAGGCCAAGAAAGCAGGTCCCTTTAGGCCAGAACTTAGTGGGAGAGAGGATGGGGCAGCCTTCCTGAAGCTGGCTGTGGGTGACCTGAAGGGACCTGGGCTGTCAAGGTGGCTTTCCTCCCCTTACACACACACACACACACACACACACACGCACACACGATGTTCTCTCCATTCTGTAAAGCGAGAGCACCTTTACCACCGACCCCATTCTTTCTTTTTCACTCAGAAATTGTCCCCTCACTCCCTGCCCACAGCCATGGCCTGGAGCAGGCCATTCACAGTTCGGGCGGGGAGGGGCCGTACAGCTAGGACTGCACCTTCAGGACATCAGACGTGAGGGAGGAAGAGGGATTCAGGTCATAAAAATCACCCCGTGGCCCGTGGCCCGTGGCCCTCTCGAGACCCGAGGTTTGAAGCTGGAGCTGAGAACAGCAAGTATCTGTGGAGACCAGCAGTCTGCCCTCTGCAGTGGCCTAGGACGCTAGTGGACAACTACCTTTAAAAAACCACAGTAGCCTTTTCTACTGTGTTGGCTGCAGTGGCCAGGAACGCTGGTCTCTGCGTTTCTTAGAAATATCCCTGTGCAAATATCAAGGGGTCATCCTGTAGAAGGGGTCTCCATCTGGGGACTCAGGAGGGAGAGACACTGAGGGGGCAGGTCCGGCCTGGCCCAGTGGGCTGAGGGGCAGAGGGTGGGGCTGGGGCTTCACATTTCAATCTTTGGAGAGAATACTGAGAGGAGGAGGCAGGCAAGCCCTGCCGGCAGGCTGGCTGCCCCGTGTGCCCTGCCTGTGGGCACAGGTGGCAGGTGTACTCAGGGTGGGCTCAGCAGGTGGAGGTCTGCTTGCGGTAGAGCTGGATCAGGGGCACCAGGCACTCGGGTAGCCCTGTCTGCAGCAGGAAGGGGTGGTCTAGGAGCTCCTGGGCTGTGGCTCTCTCTTGGGGGTCCCGCACCAGCATCCGCTCCAGGAAGTCTCGCAGCACTGGGGAGACCTGTAGAGACAGGGCAGTGAGATTAAGCCACAATTTGCAGTCACTTTGGGGTGACCTGATTGCCTGGCCCTGTCATTGTTTGAAAATCTTGAATTCGCTGGTTTTTTAACGTCCTGTCCCCTTGCCCCTCCCCACCCCCCAAGGCTCTCAGTATTCAGATGCTATAGCTCTGTGGAAGGGGCAGAGAATTGGCATCAGTGATCCAGGCCTGGCTCTATCCCTGATCTCAGGCAAGTCACAGTTTTCTCTAGGCCTCAGTTTTCTCATCTGTAAAATGGGCTAGTGATAAAGTATGCTTGCCCTGTCTGCCACATAGGGCTTTTGAGAAGATTTTAAAAACAGGTCGTTGGGTGCAGTGGCTCATTGCCTGTAATCCCAGCACTTTGGGAGGCCAAGTTGGGCAGATCACAAGGTCAGGAGTTTGTAGACCAGCCTGACCAACATGGCAAAACCCCGTCTCTACTAAAAATGCAAAAATTAGCCGGGCGTGGTGGCACATGCCTGTATTCCCAGCTACTCAGGAGGCTGAAGCAGGAGAATTGCTTGAACCCAGGAGGCGGAGGTTGCAGTGAGCCGAGATCACACCACTGCATTCCAGCCTGAGCAACAGAGACTCCGTCTCAAAAACAAAAACAAAAAACAAAAACAAAAACAAACAGGTCAAGGATGAGGAAGTGCTCTGAAAAACAGAAAATAAAGTGAGACCTGAAAAGGAAGATTTCTTTGTTGCTCTAGGCCTTAGAGTCTAAGGCAAGGGCTTATCTTGGTTCATTTTGAGCCAGTATCTTGGCATGAGGCTCAGTCTTGGGCAGAAGGCTACATCCTCTGAGCAATTAGCCAACTAGAGATCTTTATATGCTAATTTTGGAGTTAGCGGTGCAGGATCCAAGGAGCAGTTGTCCTGGAAGATGTTTCCTGTTGGTCCTCTCATCCAGCTTTGTGTTGGGGCCACAGAACTCTTTTTTTGCTATTTAGAGGCGAGGCTTCAGCCCCTGAGACATTTCTAGCTTTGGCCACCAGATGGCAATGCCACTTAGCAGCCTCCTGCTGACCTGCCAGCAGGGGGCGTCCACAGTAAGGCCTGCAGGGTTGGGGCGGATTTGGCAAAAAGGGTTACATGTATACATGTCCAAGAACATATACTGGCTTTAAGGGGAATGCTGTGGCTCAGCTGTGTTGGGGTGTGCAACAATGGAGCATGAGCCAACTCGCCGTGATGGACAGGGACATCGAATCATGGTATGGATCTCCCGACACTTGGGGTAGAAAAGTTTGTGCTCAGTGAAGCTTCTCCGGATTCCTTCCGGGACAGCAGGGATTGCTGGTGTCCTGGCTTTCCCTGCTCATGGGCACCCCTGGGCTTCTGACCAGTGCCTGCCGAGTAGCAACCCTCCTGCCACAGCCGTGGGAGGCGACCTGTTGGAGCGCACATGCGAACTTGTGCATAGATGCGGCTCCACACCCAGGTGCAGGTTTTGTGTGGAGAAAGAGGAGCCTTTTCCAGGAGCCCAGACCGTGTAGCTTCTGTGGGAGGGAGATGCTAGGAGCCTAGGCTCTGGTCCTCTTGCCTCAGGAGGAATGGGGTCTGCGAGTTCGCACCCTTGTGTGCCAACTGACCTTGTGAGAGTTTTTCAGCTTGGGCGGGGGGCTGTCCCGGAGCCTCTTCATGGCTTGCACTGGGGAGTCACTGAAGTAGGGTGGCTCCCCATCCACCATCTCAATCACCATGATGCCCAGAGACCAGATATCCACCTGCAGGAGGAAAATGTCCCTGACCTTGTGGCCAGAGCCTGGCCTGGCCCGTTGCTAGCGGTGTTCTGGTGGCGGCAGTGGTGGAGGGGGGACAGCTGGCCCCAGCTCTCCTTGGTGAGTGTGTCTCCTTCCTCCCCTGGCCACCTGCCCCGTGGCCAGTTACTGCCTGCATGAGTGACCACTGCCTATAGGGACACAGCTGTCAGTCACTCAGAGAAAGGCCATCATCCATGGGAGGCCTGGCCCTACCCCATTCTGCCCTTGAGCTGAGGAAACATTTGCAGGACTCGTTCCTGGCAGCCCGGCCATGGGCGGGAGCAGCCCCATGGAAAGGGGGAAGAGTGTTGACTAGGTGGGACTCTGAAAACCTGGGCTGCTTTTGGTGAGGTCACCGGAGGGGCCACAGCAGAAGGGCTTTTGGGAGGTCTGGGGGGTGGAGGGAACGGTTACCTCAGTGGCATACAAAGACCTGGAGATCACTTCAGGAGCCATCCAGTAGGGGGTTCCCACCAGGGACTTCCTCTTAGGGACGTCTTTGCTGATCTGAGCACAGAATCCGAAGTCCGACAGCTTCACCTAGGGTTGAAAGCGGAGTGAGTGGTGGACCGGGAGGAAGTGGGAGCGTGGCTATGCCGGGGACAGTATGGAACCTACCCTGCCATCCAGGGTCAGCAGGATGGAGTCACTCTTGATGTCCCGGTGGATGACACCCTGGGCATGCAGGTAAGCCAGGGCCTGCAGCACAGCCTCACACACAGTGGCGATCTGCTCTTCATTCAGCCTGGATAGGAAGGTGGGGCCGCCCGATGGAAGAGAGCGTTAGCTTTGGCAGGTTGTGGGGTGGCTGAGCAGAGTAGGAGTCCCTGGTGCTGGGCCCCATGGCTCCCAGGCAATCTGTTTGGCAGCACAGTCAGGCCATAGCCCTGGTGAAAACGGGCCTGAGCCTTGGATAGAAGCCACCCTTCTCTTCTCTATTCCCAAGACCCCTGGATGCCAGTTACCCCAGCAGGCAGGAGAGCCCAGGATGATCCAACAGGCATCCCAAGTCTTCTGGGCCACAGGCAGAAGAACACATTGCCCTGGCAGGGCCATGGTGAGGGCAGCCCGCACTCAGGATCCAGCCCTCCCAGCTGCCCACCTGACTTGGGAGACGATGTCTGTGAGGGCTCCTCCCTGCAGGAACTCCATGAGCACCCACAGCTCCTCGCCCACTAGGTAGCTCTTGTACATCTCCACCACGTTGAAGTGCTGGTAGTCCCGCATGATCACCACCTGGGGGCAGGTGGGGGCCTGAGTGCCAGGCACGGTGCCCAGAAGCATGGCCACCCACTGCCCCTGCTCACAGATGTCCAGCCTGGCTGGCTGTTCACTGCCCATCCCCAACGCCCCCGCCCGTCCTGCCCTGTCCTCCCACCTCGTTGAAGAGCAGCTCCCTGCGCTGCTGCTTCCTGAGGTCCATCATCTTGACGGCCACCTGGCGGCCCGAGTGCTTCTCCCGGGCCAAACAGACGATGCCGGTGGAGCCCTCGCCAATCTTCACGTAGCTGTCCAGCAACAGCCGGGGGTCACCCTGGTCCACCACCATCCTGAGTGCAGCCTTGAACTGCTCATGTGTCACAACACCTGTGTCCTCACCAGCCAGAGTGCCCTTGGCAACCGTGGGGTCCTGGGGCAGGTACAGGTTGCTGGTGCTGATCTGGGCGTGCCAGGTGCGGGGGGAACCTGCTGGGGAAGAGCGGCCTGGAAGCGGGCCTGCGGCCGGGGCTGTGCGGAGGGACTTCTGGGGGCTGCTGGTATCCGAAGTGGTCAGAGGGCTGAAGGTCCCCACCGGCTGGTCCGAGGGCAAGGACTGGGCCTTGGCCACCAGGCTTGGAGGGTTGTCTTTCTGTGGCGGTCGGAAAGAGGAGTTGGGCTGCAGGGACAAAGCAACAGGAAGGGGCATGGCTATGGGAGCATTTGGAATCACCTTCCCAGAGGCAGGGACTGGCCGCCGTGACCTCTGGATTCTGGCAGGGTCAGGCAGGGTGTCAGATCAAACTAGGGAGGTGCTCTGAGCAAAGATTTTCAGACGGAGCTGAAGCCCAGCCACAGTCCTGTGTGAGCAGCCCCCCGCAGGGCGCCAAGCTGGGCAGGCCCAAGACAGCTGCTTACACTAGCCCTACTGCACCTGGGAAGACAGAGAAGGCCACCTCCCCGCGGGGTCCTGTGCTGGGTATTTCCTCCTTGGCGATTGATAGCTAGACCCCAGGGAGGCTGCTGTAAGGCAGAATCTGCCTCTGTGCTAAGAGGCTGCTTGAAGAATCTGGGTCAGAGGCATTCTTCACTCCCAAGGCTCCTCCACTCTAGAACCCATGGGGGCAGAAGAGGCCTGGCAGTGGGGTGGGGAGCAGTGGGCAGCTGTGTCTCCACTCCCCGAACCAAGGCAGGGGAGCCACACCTGGGGCCCGATAGCCCTGCTTGTGCCTGCAGCAGGTAGTCTGTGAATCTGTGCTGGGAGGTTATGTCCCTGACAGAGGACCACAGAGGTATGTCACCATCTGGGGGGTCCTCGGGTGTCTCCCCTGGGCTGGGAATCTGGTGCCAGAGAGATCTGGAGTTAGGAGGGTAGGTCCAGCCAAACCCAAGCCTTGAGGCCAGGGAGGAGGAGATGTCTTAAAGACCCCATAAAGGAATCCTTCCACTTCCTCCTTGGCATGAAACTCCTGGCTAAGGAGCCCCCGGGAGGGAGGAGAAGGTAGGGGCCTATCCTCATGGGCTCTGGCGGGGAGGGAGGGAAGCTGGAGCCGAGGGGCAGCCCGGGCGCCCGGTGAGCCCTGCTCAGGTCCAGCCCTGGAAGCCTGTGAGGCTTCTTGCTTTTCTGAGCCCAAGCCCTCCTGCTCTCTCTGGCAGGAAAGGCACCCGCCCATCTTTGGGTTCTCCCCAAGGAGCGGTGATATGCACCATGACCCCTCCCAGGGATTATGTGTTTTTAAAGGGCACCTGGAGAGGGATGCTTCAGGGGCTGCAGAGAAGGCCTTCTAGGAACTTCTGCAAACCCATCATGTAAGCCATTGTCTTAGGTGCCCAGTGGGTCCTGGTCCTGATCCCAGAGCTGAAACAACTTATAGGAAATCTCAAGCAGTAAGTTTGGGCTGGGATGCTTGCTCAGGGACCCCAAACCCCAAATCTAGGCCTTGGGCCCCACCAGAGTCTTTTCAACGTCTTTAGCAACCCTCACTCCCTTCCTGCCCCCACTCCCCACGGCTTCAGGGCTTCCACTCTCCAGTCAAGTCCGTGGCCTGCTTAGGGTAGAACACCTACTGGCCGACAGCCACGCTGGGGCAGACTTCTGCCACCCCCACACCTGCCTGCACCCGAGTGTGTGCTTGACCTTCACAGGAAAGAAGCTAGAAATTCTCCCAGGACTGCCTGGACTCACTCCATCCCTAGTGAGTGCATTTGGACAGTAAACATTCTCCCATGTCGTCGCCAGCACCTGTCACCATCCAGTGTGACACTGTCACCATCCACTGTGTAGTGGAGCAGTGGGACCCCTGGACTGGGCTGTCAGGACCTGGGGCCCGGCCCTGGGCTGCTGTGCCCTGCAGTGAGCCTTAGGCGAGTCATCTTCTCTGAGCCCCAGTCTCCGCTACGAGGCAGGGACATGCGCAGTGATGGGGGGAGCTAGATGAACTGCGGACTTCCCGCCTCACAGCCTGATTCAGTGGGGCCCTAGAGCAGAGACTCTGCATTTGAACAATGTCCCTGCGTCCTAGGAGGCTCATGGAACGTACTTTGAGAAGCTCTGCATGAGTGGGCAGTATGATCTTAGGGCCTCAGGGAGCCTCTGGGAGGGCTATGAGGGGGATGGAGGGAGCATGGCCATGACTGAGGCTATGATGCCAGGTCCTGGGAACAGAGGTTCCATGAGACGTCACCAGGCAGGGACAGGGAGGGAAGTGGGGCAGGGCTCACTGCATCACACAGTCAACCTGTAGAAAGGCTCGGGGTGCTAAGGAGGCTGCCTGCTGGCCTGAGTGTGGACTTAACTCAGAAAACATGCTCTCCAGGCACCCATCCGTGTGGGTCGGGGCAGAAGCTTGGGGACCACCTAAAGCTCCTCTTGAGGTGGCTCTGATGACCTCTCGTCCTGAAGCTCCTAAGAAAGGCTCTAAAATGAGATCATTCCCCTCCTGGCCTCCAGGGCCTCTGCCTGGGCCAGCTCTACTCTGAGGATGTGTGGGCCTGGCAGCGAGAGCCACGTGGACAGGCCGAGGTGGGGGTTCCTTCCCTGTCTCCACGGGCCAGGTCCCTGTGCTGCTGCTGCTGCGGGTGCTGGCTGGGCTCAGGGCGGAGCCTGCGTCTGGAGACTGGTGGAGGGGTGGCCCAGCCAGGAGCCCAGCACCAGCAGAGTCTGGGACACAGGCTGGGGAGTCCCAGGAGCTGGCTCGGTCTTCAGCCTGGCAAGGTCGGGTCCCCAGTGTCCTTTCATTGGCTTCACTGCCTGTTCCACAGGGAGGGAGCTTTTATCAATGTAATCACAAGCAAGGATCAGATGGAACTTGTGAAGCCACACAAGAAAGGGAAAGGGGGACACGACAATGGAATTAATTAATTGTTAGGGGCTCTGGATTAATTCTGAAGTTACTCATGTGACAGACCTCTTGGGAAGAAAGCCACTAGAAGAGTCATGCATACATTTACATCAATGCCTCATTTCCCGCCCTGAGCCATGGTTCTCCACTGTGGGCTCAGGGGGCTGTACTGTAAGTATCCTAAAGGGGAGAGGCCATGGCATAATATTTTTAAAAATAATAAAGCCGGCCTGGCATGGTGGCTCAGGTGCCTGTAATCCCAGCACTTTGGGAGGCCAAGGCAGGTGGATCACTTGAGGTCAGGAGTTCGAGACCAGCCTGGCCAACGTGGTGAAACCCCATCTCTACTAAAAATATAAAAATTAGCTGGGTATGGTGGAGCACGCCTGTAATGCCAGCTACTTGGGAGGCTGAGGTGGGAGGATCACTTGAACCCAGGAGGTGGGGGTTGCAGTGAGCCAAGACTGCGCCACTGCACTCCAGCCTGGGCAACAGAGGGAGATGCCATCTCAAATACTACTAATAAAGCCATTTATTGAGGGCTTAGCACTTTGACAAGTGCCTTCAATGCTGTATCTCATGTAATCCTCATAACCCTGTGGGTTGTCTGGTTGTCCTGTAGGCACTGGAACCCACGGACGCCCATGGCTGCTGACTCCCCTGCTGCAATCCCACTGGTGCCATGTATCCTTGACATATATCGGAGTACACAGTGGGTGCTTAACCAATGTTTGCCCTTCTGACTCTAAGTGGAACATGTCTAAACCCTGCAAGCTCCTAACAAACTGTCTTGCCTCTTTGGTCTCTGTGCCCCCAAGCCGTGTCTTCCTGTTCTCTTTAGCTAGAGAGACTCCAGGCCTCCCTGCCTGGGGCTAGGTACAGGAGCCCCGGAGTCTATACTCAGACCCTCCTGCAGCCATGCCTGGCACACTGCATGGCCTCTGTCTATACCCAGGAGCCCCGGAGTCTATACTCTGTGTTATTGAAGTTTTGCTAAGGCAGTGGTGCTTAATGGGGTTGCTCAAGTGACATTCGCAATATCTGGA